TTAAATAACCACTTTTTCATTGATGCTTATTCCAGTGCCAATTTTCAAAAAATTACTTCTTAAAGGACTTACCAAAAACAAAATACATTTCTCTTCAGTGTTATAAACAGGTCCAAGTCAAATACATAAACAAATGATCCAAGTTATCAAGTATCAGTTTATTATTCAAATGATTATTTTCTATTTATGAAATCCTAGCAGATAGTTGGAGTCACTGTCATGCGGCAATCTCTCCTCCTGAACTACAGGAGGAGATACAGCAAACTGTATCTTGCTTTGAGTTGTTGACTTTGCAGCAATCCTGCAAATTGAAGATGCATGTTGCGACAGCGGAAATGAAAAGAATCCCCTTAACATGAAGGAAGCTTCCAGCCAGACCTGGGACAGTGTGAACAATCATCTGCCACAGTTAGCTGGGGGTTATGATGACAATTGATGATGATAACAAAACATAGATTTTTGCCAAATAGATGAAAAAAAAATATTTGGGAAAAAAACATATCACACAGATGATAAAGTTTGTCAAATCAATTGTTGCCAATGAAATGGCTTTAAATAAAAAAAAATATTCTGCATCTTGTAAAAACAGAAGCAACAGAAAAAGAGGAAGAGGAGTCACTTAATGGTTGCTATGGTAACCACCAACTGACAATAGCGGCATAAAATAACTAAAACCAACAAATGTCATGAAAAAAAAACCTTTTTGATTTGACACCATTAATTTGAAGGTCAATAAACCAATTCGGACAAAACTTCACATGTATAATATTCAGATAAAACTCTGTTTCATATACACTGCAAAAACACAAAGTATTTGTCTAGTTTCTAATGCAAACATGTTAGGACTTGAAAGAAGACAAAACTATGTTACAAGTAACTTTTCTGCAAGACATACAAGTATGTTTTGTGTCAATAAAACCTTAATATCATGAAAAGTACTAATTCCACTGGCAGTTTAACATGTTTACTTCTTGCTGGCATTTAAAATGCAAACTTGAACAGACAGACATGCATTGTGTATTTTGACAAGCTGTGACTTCACTTGTCCTTTCAGTTACGGTTAGGCATCAGATTCGTGAACAGAAATAGTTCTCTGCTGGAAGAATTCATGCCTGATATATACCCACTCTGTGATATTGTTTATGCCCGATGGGATCCACAGGGTGCAGCAGAAGATAATATCAAACCCACTGAAGTGGCTCCTTTGCACAGCTTTGAAGAATATTCGTTTCCTGTGCACTATCGGTGATGGTTAGATATAACTTCCGTCTTTAGACCTGCAGTAAGCGACAAGGAAGGTGAAAACATTTGGCCACAATGTCACAAGATAAGGTACCATTTTCAGGGCTCAAAATAACACTGTATATTTTAACTTAAATCATGCAGAGTCCAGCAGGACCTTTAGGAGGCTAAAATACTACTTGCTTTATCAATGAATTTTACTGGCAGAGTCTCATCCTTCTATCTGCTAACACAAAATTAAATGAGGGATAATTATTTGAGCATTTAATCCTGATTCAAGTCCCAGAGATAAAATGAAATTAGCTGCAGAATTGAATCAAACTCTGCCACGTGTTGGCATTTTCTCTACAGATCCGCTCTCATTTGTCTTCCTCTAAAGGCTCTTTTGTTTGCATCACTGCTTCAGACTTTGAAGCATGTTTACATTGTTTCAGATAGCTCTCAAACTGATCCTTTAGGTTGCGTTTTAGCACATTGAAAACAGAACTGAAACAGTAAATGCGTAATCCGTTTCCTGTTGTGAGCTCTACTTTAGACTGCTCATGTCTTGCAGGAAGTCACTGTGCTTCCTTGATCAGGTTTTCAGATCAAATGTTAAAAATGATTGACTGAAGGAGACCTGGTGGGCTCACCCTGTGTCCTTGGTGTCTCACCGATCCTGTCTTTTTCAGAGTGGGCTCACATAAATCAGCTTAGCTGCTGCTTGTGCAGGCTGGCTTATTAAAGCTGCCAAGACAGAAGATTGCCCTCCTCTGCTCAGAAACCACAGACACAGGACACCAAACCCACTGAACCCCGCAAAGCTCGCCTCATCTCACTGGGTGATCAAGTGTGTGTGGGATAAATCTGCAAAAACAAGTGCATTATCTCCATCTACCGCCTTTCCCTTTGTGTCAAGTGTTGCCCTGCAAAGAATCAGACAAGATGCAGCTTTTTCGATCTGTGAAACGTCAGGGCAAAATCAGGATGTAGGATCTAAAATGCCTCAATAAAAGAAAAGAAATATGCTAAATTAAGATTACAGCTGTCTTTTACAATGCATTTATAGTATTGTTTTATCATTTATCGTGATGTATTTATTATTATGATAAGAATTTTGATGTTTAAAAGCTTCCAACACTGTTTGGATGATTGGTTTTAAAATTTTATCCACTGTTTGTTCGGTGAGAGCATCAATAAATATCAACACATTTTAAAAATATGATTATGTTGTGATATATCTTTATGTGACTGTTGTCGAAATGAAGCACACTACAAATGGTTGTGATAATAATTGTGTTTGTGAGGTTATAATTGTAGCACACAGTTATGCAGTTACAAACATACAAAAAGAAAGAATAAATAACTTATCAGCTCTAGAAAAAATGAAGAGTCCACCGAACCCCATTGAAAACCTCCTGGTTTGGTTATCCCACCAAATATTGATTTCCGAACTCTTCCTTAGTTGAAACATTGGTATTGTTGTTTCTAAATGAACATGAACTTGTTTTCTTTGCATTACTTGAGGTCTGAAAGCACTGCGTAGTTTTTGTTCTTGTAACCATTTCTCATTTTCTGCAAATAAGTACAAAATGTTTTGCTAGGAATTTCAGAAACATGTTGTCAGTAGTCAATAGAATAAAATAATCATTTTACTCAAACATATACATATAAAAGGTAAAATCAGAGAAACTGAAATCACCTGCAGAGGAGAAACTTTGCTCTGTGCTGTGAACACCAGGTGGCGCTTCAACTCTACTCCAAAGAATCTAACAGGGCAGTGCATGGTTTCTCTTTGTGGTGTGGCAGGAAATAGTGGAGAGTTTTTCCTTTAATATGTTCAGTTGGTGCAGCCATTTTAATATTGCTGCTTTAACATGAGAGCACTAACAGACACTGATCCTCTAACTGGACGATGACACAACAGGAAATTCCCTGAGCTGTGAAACGGTTCAGTAAGTTTTCCAACCACAAAACGAACTCTTCATCTGATCCAAAGACACAAACATATTTGACCTGTGTAGTAGGGTGGATGTGGGTTGTTCTCATTATGTTTTTGATGATTATCTTACTAAAAGACGCAGTTCCATTTTTATTATTTTAGATGTTTTATTTTTAAGAGTTCACATTGCCTCGCAGTCTCGTAAGATTTGCAGGACTTTTGAAGGAAAAACAGGCTAACAGAATCACAGATCTTCCTCCATACTTAAAATTGGGTACTTTTCAAAAATAATTATCCTTTGTCTCCTGCCAAAAACACACATTTTCCATTCAAATTTAACAAAATCAATGTTTACATTTGTAACAACGATGCAAAAAAAGGCTCAAATGCATAAATATATTTAGTAAAATTGCTTTGATAGGAATTGTTTGAGATGGCAAGAACTGCATATCCACTGATTTTGTTAATAATTTTATGAGATAAGCTTTTCTGCATTTATTAGCCACTGAGCAGAACTTTCCCTTTCAAATAAAAAAAAAATAATAAACCCATTTTTATTGCAGGATATGGTAAAAGTATTTGTCTTTCTTTAACTTTTTCAATTTTATTTGCCTTATAGCCACAAACTTTTATTTATTTTATTATGATGTCAAATAATCAAGCATGATTATGAAGTGGAAGGAAAATTACCCTTTAAGGTGTATTTCATTCTTACACCCTTAAATTAAATGTGGTTACACTTGTATAGTTGAATCTCAGTATGAATCTAATTGTTTGGTAAAGACCTTAGAGGTTTGTAAGTGAACATTAGTGAACAAAAGGAGTCATGGAGCCCAAAGACAAGTCAGGGATAAAGTTGTGGAAACATTTAAGCACTAAAGCAGCAGTGCTGCTATTTAGAGATATTGCACCTTCAATATCTCTAAATAGCATGAAAATTATGTAAAAATATAAAGTGAGAAGCTGGACAAGAAGAACAACAAGAGGAGAGCGGAGAGGAGCGAGATTAACAACTAAGGTGGGACAATTTTGGCTGAACAAAAACATGTTGTACTTACCAAAAAAAGCTGGAATTCTTGACAAAGTGTCAAGAAAAAAGTTATTGTTGAAGGAAAACCATAAAACGTTAATGCTACTCTGGAACGCATTAACGAACACTCATGCATTGGAATGGACAACTAAAAGTACCAATCTAAACTGTGAAGATGTAAAAATTTAATTGATACTCTCTCTATTAATCCTGACTGAGCGTTGGCGATTTTTCAAAAAGGAATCAGTAAAAATTTCAGTCTGTTACTGCAGATGAAGGTGCCTATGTAGAATAAATGAAAACATACACCAAATACTTCAATGGTAATTTGTGGAAAAAATGTCAAAATTGTATAACATCTCCACTACACGTTACAATCATTTGCTGTTTTGTGTTGGCGAATGAGATCTATGACAATGTATCACAATCATCAAATGAGGAAAATTTTAAATGGTATAAATGCAAGTGCAAGTTGTTTTTTTGATTGTTTACAAAGAGCTGTGGGTTCAGTGCTTGATGACATTAATATTTGTTCATACTGGATCATAGATGTTGCAAAGCTAAAAGCAAATTGTCTGAAAATTTTAATCCTGGTTGTAAAGAATGAATAAATACTATAATAAATGCAGTTAATTATAGAAATGTAAGTTCTAAAGGTTGCAACTAAGGTTCTAAGTAAGAAATAAGTAGAAAAAATCCTAGAGAACAATAGAGCAAATAAAAAAGTAATAACTAATTTGTTTGACGGTCTTTGACCTGGAAGGTCAAAGAGAAACTCCCCTGTTCTCTGAGTTTTGACCGAACACAAGCCCCAGCCTCTGTTTTTCCCTCTGCCCAGAAGTGTGTGAAGTCAGCCGTCTGTCTGGCACAGAAGTGTATTGATGTGCTTCCAGGTGTTTGTGGTAAATCCTAATGTCTGGACTGCAGGACCCTTCCTACACCCTGTGAGATCATCACCATTTTAATTAGACCGGATTCGCCAATTACAAGACATTGAGGGCGTCTCGCTTTCTCTCCTCGGCTCTATAAAAGAAGCACAGATCACCGATTTGGCAGACAGGAACTGAGGAAAGGTGAGTTTGCACCATGTTTGTAGTAGTTTGCCTTTTAATTCTGAAAATGACAGTTTTATCTTAATTTCTGATGCTTTATTTCAGATTTTCTGTATAATGCATTCCAAAACGTTTATGGTTGCCACTTTGCTGGTTGGTGCTTTGAAATTAATTTCATCTCAGAGTGAGTATAACTTCAACAAGTGGCACATTTCATTAAGAAAATATTTAAATTGCCAGTCTACGCAAAAAAATTTATATATTGTTAATTTTTCTGGCAATCTGTTAAACGTTTTCTTCCCTTCTTCTCATCCATGTTTGCTTTGTTAATGATCATTAACCGGAGGGAGGACAAGTGCCTACATTTGATTTTGTTGCTCAACTTCAGAAATCGATTTCTGGCAGCTTGTGCTGCACACACTGATTTCTCAACTTGTTTTTGATAGTTTTTTCTGTTTACGATGTTTCCTGCAGCGAGCTGCAAAGGACGATGTGGGGCAGAGTACTACCGAGGCAACATGTGTCAGTGTGACTCCAGCTGCCTGTCCTATGATGAGTGCTGCGATGATTATGAAGCTCAGTGCACCACAAGTAAGATTTGCTTTTGCATATATGCACATAAACAAACAGAAGTGATGCTTGTGTATTAAATTATATTAAACTCTAAATTCTGTTTCTCAGAGAAAGTTTGGCATTTTTAAAGAAACACCATTTTATTCCTATTTTTTGGATTTTAGCTAAAAAATAAATACAATTTAGCAGGAGGATGAATCTTTTTTTTCTGCAGAATGAAAAATGGTGTAAAAATGAAGAAAAACCCCTAAAAATGTTTTTACTCATACTGTTAGTGTCATTATTTGTAGATAGTGAATGAAGATATAGCAGGAATAAACTGAAAAAACTGTTAAAAACCTGCATTTATTGTTATATTTAAACTTAGAAACATTAATTGATTCTAATGTCTCAGTTGAAGTGCAAAGTTGTGTGTATATTCCAGAGGAACTGTGTGGATCTGTTGTGTTTTAAGCTTCAAATTTTTATCTATGCAACAGAAAACTCCTGCAAGGGCCGTTGTGGAGAAACCTTCAGGAGAGGCCGGCGATGCAGCTGTGACCCCGAATGCTCAAAGTTCAACCACTGCTGCCCAGACTACAACAAGCGTTGTGATGTGGACGGTAAGCCTTGATCAGCTCATGCAGCAGTATGAGCTGATCAGCATGCCAAACATTTTTTCTTTACAGAATACCCAACAAGAAACTCAAAGATTGGCCATTTAAACACATATCTTATGCACAAATTTAATTAAATGAGTCATATGCATGCGCAGCATGTACAGCAGCATCTTGAAATGCATGCAGTTAATCTGCCCTGATGCATTTGACGGTATTTTCTGTATCAGTAATTACTACAGAAAAGAGTGGAGGAGCAACAGGACCAATGGCGAGTAGTTCATGTGATAATGTACATAACAATCCCAAAGGTATTTTTTTACCTAAAGGTTTGCTACATTTTTATCTATTTAGGCTTGAAGGAAAATGTATGTTTTTCAATGGAAATTCCAGCTGAAATTTAATAGTAAATATTCTGACAGATTCAACTTTGACAGAGGATCCTGGACTGGGTGAAGGAGACATTGCAGGTGAGATCACCGTTTTCTTTTTTTCTGCTTTTATCTTACTAGACATGGGTAAAGTACATAAAACTGTACTCAAGTAAGAGTAAAAAGTCTATATATATATTTTTTTTCCATAAAAGTGAAAAAAAATCTAGTTAAAAGTGTTGAGTGACTGATCAGAATATATATTTAAAAATTATTTCATCAGACATACAAAAATGCAATGTTATGTCCAAATATTGAAAAAAATACCTATAAAAGTAATAGTTACAGTTGAAAAGTACAAATATACTGCATGTTAAATTAAGGTGAAATACGTCCAGTATTTAAGACGTAACTGTGTTTGTACTTCATGAATTGTTTGTTTTCTCTTCATTCAGCAAAGTTACTCACAGTGGGTAGAGTATCTAGAAATTTTATTTAAGCCAGAGTAAAAAACTAAGCTCCTTTTCATAGCATTTTTCCTAAAAAGTTACTCAAGCGTAACTAGTTTCTAGCCACCTCTGCATTCTCCAGCTCCAGCCCTGAAACTCACATTTTAAGGCATGTGAGTAAATGTCAGGAGCTGAACTTTTATTTCCGAGTGAAAAAGAGCAGGAAGATGTATCCATCCAGCCGATTGAAGCTCTGCCACTGGGGCTTTCTTTGAAGGGCCGAGAGCCAGCAGAACAAGCCTCCGGAGCCAAATGAAACACGAGGCAGCAGTCAGTTATGAGCGGGGGACACGAGGAGGAAAGCTGGGCTCACGTTCAGTCGCATAAAAGGAAACCGCAGAATTAAACCTGAAGAATAATTACATAATATATTCTTGCCCTTTTATGAAGGAGTCAGGAACACTGCAAAATCCTAACAAGTAGTAACAACTGGATGAAGAGAAATAACAGTACCTGGTATTTTCTGACACAAATATCTTAGTACTTGAAAGACAAAATTAACTTACAAATAATTTTTCGCCAAGATATTGAAGTATGTTTGATTTAATGTAAAAATAATAATTCCACTGGTATAAGTAGGTATATAAAATGGATAATCTGCAATTGGAATCAGCACTTTTTAAAAACATATACAAAGGAATTATTGGCTTAAAACAAGCTCCTATATCTTGCTGAAGAGTTTCTTGTAAGTTAAATTTGTCTTATTTCATATGTACAAATATATTTGCACGAGAAGTTAGACAAAAATATGTGTTGTTTTTTTCAGAGAATTCTCTCTTTTGCTTCTTGGAGATGGAAAATCCTGAGCATGTCAATATTTTGATTAAATATTTTATGCAACGCTATTTACAACTATTTCCATTTTTTTCCAATTCACCTGCAGATGACAACTCATTTACTCCAGACAGTTTGACACCGTACCCACCCACGGATCTTGGCGATGGTGAGCAAAAAAACCACGAAGAGTTTAGCAAACAACTTTCCCCAGACATAATAACAGGCAGTGTAAACCTCTCTCTGGTAGATATATTCGCCGACATTTTTCCAGATGACGACTTGTCCACCGATGGAGATGTGCAACCGGAAGCGTCTCCAAGCCCAGAGATCAGCAGTGATGATGGACTGACTCCAGTTGGGCCCTTGGACAAAATTCCGACAGAACCAACTCTGGTTAAAGACGATCCACAGTTCAGTACAGAGCCGACGCCTGTGGATGACATTCTTACTTCGGCAGCAATTACAACTGCGAGCACAGGTGTGTGATGTTCAGTGTTCAAATCCACAGATATTGGGAAACAACCAGGCCCACAGCATCACACAACCGACACTGTACTTAACAGTGACCTTAAGGTGCATTTAAACACTTTTGTTTCACAGCAGAACCATTTATATATAAAAAATAAGTAAAATAAGCAAAAGGTGCTCCAATTAAGCACCTTTTGCATTTTAGATTAATTAGTCAATCTAAAAATAGTCAACAGATCAGTCCTACAATCTACAACTGAGCCTTTCACATATAGAAGTATTTTATTTTTTTGCTGAAGATGCATCATTTTATAAAAATAAAAGAATGCATTTACAGCAGTGTCAAAACATTTTGCCCTGAGGGCAAAATACTGGCAAATCTGAACTACTGGCAGGCCACAAAATTCATTAAATAAGATTTTTTAGTTTTGCCTGAGCAATAATAAACACACTTTCTATTAAATCTGTGTATCATTGAGGATCCAAAACATAAATGTTACAGACTGTTGCCTTCTTAAAAGTTAAAAAACAAACAAGAACAATTTCAACATTTTCGGGGTCATCTTTTGCTTTCCATTTCGAAGGCCAGATTTTTACCATTCTTGACTTGTTGTCAGAGGCCGAACAAAATTATTTCAGAGTCCACAAATGGCACTCAGGCCACACTTTGGACACTCCTGCACCAAAGGAATGCTGTGTTATTGCGTTTTAGCCAAAATATGTTAATTTTTTTATTTGAAAGATTTAAAAAATGTATTTCTAACATTGTATAAAAAAGGTTAAATGAAAAAATGTGTACAATGGGGTAACTTTTTTTAAAATCTGATTAGTTAATTGTGAAAATAATCGTTAACTAAAATAACCATTAGTTACAGTGATATTAAATTGGTATTATTTCCCCATTTCAAGATCCCACAGATCCGACAAGCAACCCAGATCAAGCAACGACTCCCTGTAAACCCTCAACTGAACCGTCAACTGAACCTTCAACTGAACCATCAACTGAACCTTCAACTGATCCATCAGCTGATCCCTCAACTGAACCTTCAACTGAACCGTCAACTGATCCATCAACTGAACCATCAACTGAACCTTCAACTGAACCATCAACTGAACCATCAACTGATCCATCAGCTAATCCGTCAACTGATCCATCAGCTGATCCCTCAACTGAACCATCAACTGATCCCTCAACTGAACCATCAACTGATCCATCAGCTGATCCCTCAACTGAACCCTCAACTGAACTGTCAACTGAACCATCAACTGATCCATCAGCTGATCCGTCAACTGATCCGTCAGCTGATCCGTCAACTGATCCATCAGCTGATCCGTCAACTGATCCATCAGCTGATCCGTCAACTGAACCCTCAACTGAACTGTCAACTGAACCATCAACTGATCCATCAGCTGATCCGTCAACTGATCCGTCAGCTGAACCGTCAACTGAACCACCAACTGAACCAAACAGCAGCGTCCTTGACCCCTCAACGACCTCAGAGCCACAAACTGAGCCTACAGCTTCGTCTGGAGCTACAGAGACTGAGACGGAGATTTCCCCCTCAGACACACCAGAGGTCATCCCCACCAACGTAAAGGACTTAATGGAAGAGCTGGAAAACTCCCAGCTCACCACAACTCCGGGCTCCTCAACGTTGGCGTCAGTGACTGAGGAAACCACTTCAAGCCCAAACACAGAGAGCAGTCCAGAAAGCATCACAACCAGCTCTGATGTTCTGCAAGACGTTTCAGACTCCACTCTGACCCCAGCTACAGTCGGGTTGCTCTCATCCACAGTGGCAGGCCCAGACAACACCAGTGACGGTGTTGATCCAGATGAAACAACTGCTGATCCTCCCACATCTAAACCCGACTCCAAACCGGATCAGTCTACAGTATCACCCGCCTCTAAACCTGAGGCCAAGCCTCTGGGCCCACAAACCCCGATTAAAACCAACCCGAAAGATTACCAAGGAGGTAATAACAGATTTTACACAATGAAGACATATTTTAATGAAGCACTAACTTGTTTCACAGGCGTGACGGATGTTTCCAATTTGTGTTAAATATTCATTGCAGCTCCTGCAATGAATATTTGCAGCAGCAGGTTTTATGAGCTCTGTTAGTTTTTATTCTTCCTCAAGGGAAGTAAGTTAAAACTTTTATTTAGACAAGGGAAAGGGCTTTCCAAACTTTCTAAATATTTGATTTTCCAGTCAGAGACAGTGAGAGTCATTATCCACAAATAGAGAAAACGGGAAACTATTCATCCAGTCACATTTACTCAAATTATCTAAGAAACTTATTACCACCTATTGCAAATGTTTGACTTTAGCCTTTCCTGCAATTACTTGAGTAACGTTTTGGCAAAAATGTACTTTCAGGAGCGTTCTTACTACACTGTTTTTTTTTCTACTTTTACTTGAATGATTTTAAGAAGAATCGGTACTTGAGTAACTTTATACAACAGTTTTAAATGACCCCATATACAGGATGGTTGGCCAAGGATGAATGATCAGAGATGACTAGAGATTTTAGATTTTAAAAAGATTTTGCATTTTATGAAACTGCAAAAATCTGAAACTAATAGTGTCCTGCTTTCAATTTAATGGTAATTCATGAATAGAAATGATTCCTGTGTCCTGCTGTAGTGTTTGATTTTGATTTTTTTCTTCAACAATGTGTTCATTTGTCCTCCAGATTACAGTGAAGACACAAACCTGTGCAGCGGACGCCCGGTCAGTGGGATCACCACACTGAGGAACGGCACAATGGTGGTTTTCAGAGGTCAGTGTCAAAAAGCTGGACTCCAGTCTGTCCAGTCTGTTCAGTCATGTTTTACATTGCAAAAATACAAAAATCCTACCAAGTATGATCATGTTTGCACTAGTTTCTAGTTCAAATATCTGAGTGCACTTGAAATAAGAAAACTAAATCACAAGTAACTTTTCAGCAGCATGTAGGAGCTTGTTTTGAGTCAATAATTACTTAATATAGATGGAAAAAATACTGCTTATAAGTGAAACAATCTGGAACAAGGCATTTTATTACAAGTTAAATTTCTTCTACTGGCAGATTATTTTCTTCTTATATTGTGCTAACACTAGTTTTGGATTAATTCGGTTTATTTACATCCACATTCACATCAGTTTTCAACAACTATACAATATTTGTTCAGCTTGCATGGAGGGCTGTTATACCTTCTTCATTTATTACAGGCCATCACTTCTGGGTTCTGGACAGAAACCTGGTGCCGAGTCCACCCAAAGTCATCACGGCGGTGTGGGGCGTCCCCTCACCCATCGACACTGTGTTCACTCGCTGCAACTGTCAGGGCAAAACCTACATTTTCAAGGTAAGACGCCTTATAGCAGCATCCTGCAGAGATTCATCAAACATCTGACAAGAATCATTTATAAGTACATTGAAATGTACAAATACAATTCTATTAAATATTTTTCTGTTAAGAAAATAAACATTTTACTGCCTAAAATGCAATAACATTGCTTTAGTGTCTAAAAAACGTGAAAAGCCTTTCCTGCTTGACTTAACATTGATGCTGTTTTGGGCTAATCTGTTGATTATTTTTTTTAGATTAAATGATTAATAATTGGATAGCAAATAAAATGTCTATTTTTTACAGAATTTGAACCAAGTGAAGCTTAAACTGCGCAACTTGAGTTGTTCTGAGTAGGACATATTTTCAGACCAAGGTTTATTTAATCTCAAATGCAAAATACATATATATTGTTTGCACATTTATGGTTTAGTTACTGATCTGAGTGTGTTGTTCTTTCAGCAAACAGTATTTTTTTGAGTCCGTTTGCCGATTAATCGATAATTAAATTAGTCAATTATTGCATAAGACATTTGAGACTGGGGAGGAGGTTCACCTACAACACTAAACATACAGTCAGAGCAACAATGTAATGGTTTAAATCAAATCTCATTCCTGAGTTAGAAGGGCCCTAGTTAAAGCCCAGAAGGTAAAATGTAAACAATGTTCTTTTGTTTTTGTTTCAAATTTGACTAAGTTTGAACTATTTTGCAAAGAAAAATAAGCTGGTCTACAAAAGACTTGCATCTGGGATTCTCCAAATTTAGAGATGCTAAATGAAGGAAGAAAAAAAAGAATTAAAAATGCACAAAATTTTCACTCTGCTTCACAGTTATGAACTTCTTTCTCCTGATGCATCACAGACAATTCCAACAAAACTGAAGCACATTACGCCTCAAAACTTCTTAGCTGAACTGATGAATATTTATAACATTTCCTTGTTTGTTTAAATTTGCAGGGAGGAAAATACTGGAGGTTCGAAAATGATGCTCTGGACCCGGGTTATCCGAAAGTGGTAAAAACGGGTTTTGACGGGCTGCAGGGCCACATCACAGCTGCCCTGTCTGTGCCTCAGTACCTCAGCAGGAAAGAGTCTGTTTACTTCTTCAAGAGAGGTAATGAAATCATTCCAGAGCATTTCAATATCTTTCTCTGTAATTTCTTTCAAACTTTTTTTGTTTGTTTGGTTTACAGGGGGAACAGTTCAGAAATATTCATACCAGTTTGGCACCAGTCCTAAATGTGGAAGAACGGCCCAAGCGCCTGTTTATACCGTTCGTGCTCGACTGGCCCGTCAAGCAGGTACTGCACAAATTTTTAGAGTTGGTGAACTGCATTATGGGGCATTTTGTGCTTTTGGTTGTCACTCTACATATTTCTAAAAGAAGTTTAGATACTAGTATCTAAGAGGGATTAATCATCCTTTATAACACCAATGCAGTAGAATGGACCTGAACGTCAGATCCAAACTCGCTGCAAAACTGACCAATTCTCATTTTCCATCTCCTCACAGTTTCTGTTTTGGAACCAACAATAAACATCCGTAGATCCTGGAAAGGCTTCCCCTCCACCGTCACAGCAGCCGTTTCAGTGCCAACCAACAGAAACCCAGAGGGATACAAATATGTCGTCTTCTCAAGATGTAAGTCAGCAATTCAACATCCTTTAATATTGAACTTTTTCACATTTTCAAATTGGGATTTTTTTGATAGATCAACATGAAGAAAACTTTATGAACCCGTTCTATTTAATTGTACAAACTAAAAGCAATGAAAGCATCGTAAGCATCTTATTGACTCAGTGAAAAGCCCTGATGTAAATTTAATAGAGAATGTGTTGTGAGTGGAAAATGGATGCTCAGTCTGACAGAGGCTAAGCTATTTGTCAAGGAGAGGGTGAATGTTTTAACATTTAGATGTGGAAAGGATAGAAACAAACTAAGACAGGAAGTAGAAGGAATGTCAACAAAGAATATTGTAAAAACTGGCAGCATTGATATGGAAAGTTAAAGATTATTTGAAGTTGTTTTATTACGTAGTGTTTTGTGGTTTTTATCTCTTATTATTGTACTTTAACATCAACCTGCTAGAGACTAGAGATGGAAATTAGTCACTTCACTATAATCCCATTGATTTACATGTAAATATTCTTTGATACATACAGTATATTCCACATTTTTAAAGATAAATATAGACAATATTCACACTGGCAAGCATATTTTGTAAATAATGTTTCCTTTTGGTTTCACTCCACATTCAAAGGATCTATTACAAAATCCCGATGAAATAGTTTGCAGCTGCAACAATACAAGATATAAACAGCTCTCAATTAATCAGTGTCACTATTTTGACAGACTTAGCTTCATTTCTATCCACTGAAACATTATTGGCTAGGCACAGATTCTTCAAACAAAACTTGAATATCTATAAGCAGGAAATGTGTTTTTCCCCTACTTTGTTTTGTATTAGGAAGCTAAACTTCAAAGGAGTTCAAAACTTCCACACTCAGTCCAGTGCCTTTAATGACGGATGCTTGGCAGATGTACAGTTTGTTAAATGTGGAGTGAAAAGCAACATTTAACAAATGAAAACTTCCACCAGCATGAAAAAAATAAGCTGAAATGCATCTGTTTACAAAATATGCTGACCAAGCCACATCTAATGTTTTGCAGCGACGGCGTACAACGTGAGGATGCACAACGGTCGACCTGTTGTCGCCCCTCCGAGAGCAAATGTGTCGTCGAAAACCGACAACTTCTTCAGATGCCCGAAGAAAGCCTAACTGGAAAAATAAAACAACAAAGGGGCACGGGCTAATTTCAAACAATTTTATTTTCTGATTAAAACACAGCATCAACATGAATCTAAAAAAAAAACTTTCAAATTAACAAAATCTGATCCAAGAAACAAGAACATGGATGAATGCAGATCTGAAAGTTGAATGGTGTCGCCTCCAGTTAGGCGTTGGTTCTGATTGGTTCTGATGAGAGCTTCATCTCAGAAATCGTCTCCCATGAAAGCCGCGGGGAGGGAAGGTTTGACCTGTGGAAGACAAAACATTTCAAATACAAGTTCAGCAATGATGTAGTTTCTGTACAGTTACCAAGTATAAGTCAATGCTATGCCTAAATATCATCTCCTGGCAGTTTTGGTTATGAGCCAAAGTTTTATTAAATACACTGCTTGTGCATAAATAAGAGTGTGAACATGATGGTTTTTTTTAAAAGGAAAATTGAAAGGCAATAAAGACTAAATGTTGTGAAAACTTTGTCATTTTTTGTCCCCCATTTCCTTCAGCTTATTAAGTTCCTTAGAACCACAAAGAACAATAAAAGTTGCTACCTCCTCTCTTCATCCGACCACCACGGCTGTCCTGCCAGCGCTGCAGCTGTCTGGCCTGTCCGGGGCGAGCGGGTTTAGGGACTGTATCTGCAGAGATCACAGACATTTATAATCACATCGGTCTCACCTGGTATCCCAGACGGCCGTCATGGATGAGTTTTAAGGTTTTACCTGCGGAGCTGGAGGAAGGCTCCTGGCTGGTGGAGGGAAGGTTGGCCTTGTCAGACGGCTGGCTCGGCTCCTCCGCGTCTCCCTGCGACGCCACAGCATCCACAGACGCTTCAGCACTGGGCCTGGAAAAAATAAACATGTAGGATCACAGCTGGAAGTCATCCCCTGTTGCTGTGTTTCCCAGGAAGCCGAAACGTTTGAAGATTGTTTCTACTACCAGCGTGACGATTTCCGCGCTGGACTGAGTGTCAAGGATTTGATTGCCAGTCAAGTTGAAGGGTAAAAAGAGTCATAAAATGTCCAATTCTATTTGTTTCTTTGCAACTATGAGGCGTATTTCACCACACAACAAGCCCACTTTCTCACTATTCTCTTTACTTTACTAGGAAACTGCGAGAAAGCAGGTGTTCATACAACTTTTGACGGGAACCTCTTCTTTTCCCGTGGGCAAAACCCACACTGAGTGGACACTCAGCAGAAGTGAGTGGAAACATAAATACTCCCTGCTTATCTGTCTTGATTTTAATTAGCGGGTCAATTTGACCCTGAACAGTATGTTTGTCTAAAGTTCAATTATAAAGATCACCCCTTGAAAAAAAAATGTCAAAATGTAATATAAAAAATCTACAAAAGACCAGTTTCAAAGATAATGTTTTTTTTTGTTGTAGGTTTTTTCAACAAATGAGTAAATGGTCGTCCATTGAAACGGTTAGTTTTGGAGTTAATAATCAGATACAAAAATGTTTTGGAGGATTCTTTTGGTTTCTAATGCTATTGCATGATTAAACACTCCCCGGGTCAAACTGAACATTATTGCTGTACCTCAGAAACGGCCATAACGGTGTGAAGAAAAAAGCTTGAGTGATAACCACCTCTCACTGTCTGGCTCCAGGAAGATGTCTCTCTCCTCTCCGGCCCCGGCGGCTCCTGGCAGCACCAGGCCCGGCGTGGACGTGCTCACCATGGGAACCGACTGCGAGGCGAGCTCCGTCGTATCAGACTGTGCAGCCTCCGAGAAGACAGTTACTGCAGATAAAAGGAAACTTTACAAACGGCAGAGGCTCCAGAATCTGAGTCATCAGACGGTTGGTTGAATTTATGAAAAGGCTTGAGATAAATAAATGAATCTCTTTGCGTCAGGCTGACTGACTGTCGGATACCTGGAGCTGCAGCTTGCAGTGGGGTGGTGGGAACGCTGCGCCCACCCGACTCTTCCTCATGAGATGCCAAGAACAGAGGACTTTCAAACAGCCCAAGACCTGGACAAAATCATCATTTCACAATTAAAAAACAAAGATCCCATTTTTATTGCTTTGTTGTATAAAAATCACCATTTTTTTTTGTGTAATTTATTTTTAAACGTGTCATGGATCACCTCCTTGCGAGGCAAGCTGGCCGAGGTCAGAGTGCGAGGAGGAGCTGGTCTGAGGCACGTCTTCTGAAAGACCAAACCTGAAGCGAGGGACTCCAGCAACCTGTGGAGAACTGACAACCGAGCGAACAAAACACGATGAAACGACATGAACTAAAACTAAAAACAAGATGAACATGAATTTTTAGATAATAAAAGTTTCTAATTAAAAAAAAAACAAAAAAAAAAACAGAATTAATTACTTGTCTTTTTTACTGTATTGTTAACATTGTATAAAATATTTGGTTAAGTGAAAAATCTGCAGAATGTGCCAATTTTTTCTATCCGATTCCTTGTCAGAATAATTGAATATTCAAATAATCGTTAGCTGCAACAGATGCATATTGTACAGCTTTCGAGACGTACTGGATAGCTTGGTCAAAGCCTTCAGAGCGAGGGGGAACCAGAGTGGGAATGCTGGGAACCATCCTGTCGTCTTCTTCAAAGAAATGCTGCTGCAAAAATACAATATATTGTTGATAATCACACAAAAATAAAACAAATTTACAATAACAAAGTTATCAGCTGGTGACCAGAGCTTAATCACGTTTTAGCTAGGGCTGTTGTAAATGAATATTTTACTAAATGGAACACGGTGCGCTAAATAATTAAACATAAATTAACAAAGCTTCATAGCAGATACATTTTCCTCGAGGAATTTTAGTAATCGATGTACTCGAATCGCTCGAGGAATCGTTTCAGCCCTAGTTTAAGCCAATTAAAAATGCCCCGTTGAACACTCAAAAATATATTTTCTGATCAGTGACAGCACCATTATGTGCCATCATGGCAGTATCTTCATGATCGGGTGGCTCTCCAACGGTTAGTTGCAGAATCGATACTTAGAAACGAAGTCCAGGAAAGCAGATATATGGAGAAAACTTTTTAAAAAATAAACTGCATTTTCCACATTTACTGCAGCTGCTGGAAAACGAGAGAGAGCTAAACTTTTGACTCCAGACTTTTAATGATTATCAGAACAAGCAACAAAAGAATCAATTACTAAAATATTTACTAGTGGCAGCCCTAATTGCCTTGAATGTAAATAATAGCAGGATGGCTAGAAAATATTTAGAATTTCTCTAAAAATAAATTTACAGACAAAGACTGGAAATATTAGAATAATGAGAACTTGCCTGTTGCAAGAAGCGATTAATTAATTTCATGATCAATTAAAATGAGCTTGATAATTTCTATTCTGACGATTAATATTTTGTGAAGGGAAATTTTGTTTACAGACTTCATAATCTGTTTTATTGTGTGCTTGTTTAAAATATCTCACAGTTCTAATGTTTAGAGTTCTTCACAAAGTTACAGTTTACTGGTCTTTGAGAGGACAAACTTAGATTATTATACAATTATCAATATATTGATTAAAAATGGTCTCAAATAAAAAGAGACAATTTATTTTCTAAAAAAAAATTCGTTATTGAGACAGGCCTATGTCTAATAAAACTTACCGCACTGCTGGGCACGGCAGGATTGAGTCGGCCCACTGACTGGCGACGGATTCGCTGATAGAGACACAAAACTGATTAGAGGAGAAACAAAAATACTCGATAGATCTTCGAGAGAGACGCTCGCAGCGTATGAACCTGAGCAGACGCTCCCAGTTCTGCAGACTGAGCGGGATGGATGTTGAGCTGGGGCAGGAGCTGCTGCACAGGTCGCCGTGGTGACTGGGGCAAACGTGCTCCGGAACTTGTGATTGGCTGTTCTGTTGGCAAGGCCTCCATTGGGCTTCCCTCAACTGAAGCATTTGATAAACATATGTAATTAAAACAAGCTGCTGACATTCAATAGAAGTTTTAAACAGCTAGTAATGGCAAACGAGGTAAAAAATATTATATATTCTGCTGAAAGTAGCAAATCTTGTTTAAAAAATTGAAAGAAAAAGTAGGAAAAAAAATGGTACAGTGGACTCATAGTTGATTTCTAAAACATATTCACAAGAACATCAGCTTGGAAAGTTGAAACAGTTTCTAAATGTTTGTAGGGCTGAAACGATTCCTTGAGTGATTCGAGTTCACGGTGCAATGGTTGGACTACGACAGCTTTTGTGGCGTCGGAATCGCGTCGTCACGGCTTTGGTACGAAGAGAGAGAGTTATGAGTGTTTTAATACAGGGACTCAAATATTTGTGGATTTTGGTAATTCACAAATATGGATGATTTATTACCCATCTATACTTAAAGATTAAATCTGTAGCAAACCTAAAAACATTTTTCCAGGACTATTTTTATGGATGTTTTCCAACGTAGCAAGATTTAGTTTCTTGGAGTATTCTCAAGTTTTGTATTTTACATAGTTATAAAATAATATAAAAATATAATCAAGTTTCTGAGCATTTTTTCAAGACTAACTCTTCCAGTTTTTCATACAATTTACAGCTAATGCTTTAAAATGCAAGTACAAACGTTCACTGAGAGTCAGGCTTTAATTATAGATGCGTGTAAAAATCACCAACTGGAGAGGTAGATGAAAATTCGGAAGGGTGAGAGGAATGTGCACAATTTGGGATAAACAAACTTAAAACGAAGGAATAAAATAATTTTCCACTAGCCTATTTTCTCTTTCCATACTGATCCAAAGGATGAAAATTCTTGAACACTTTAGTAAAAATAATGAGTACATTTAGTCAGTGAAATGCTTTTGAGCTTTCTGATGCCTTTAAGGTCAGATCTAATTTTAAAAAGCAGGAGGTTTAGAATTATTATTATTTTTTTGCCAAAGTCAGTACTTTGCACAAAAATATGAATATTTGACCGTTGTCAACATGCAAGACAAAATCCTCATTAGTATGAATAACCACCGTCTTGTTTTGGAGAGGATTCATTTTGGCCAGCTTCCCCTTCTCATGCCAGCAGATGTTTTACATCTTTTCCCGTCATCGCTAAGTGGTCGATAACTAATTGGAACCCGAGGTGGAGAGTATGAATCAGAAATACACTGTTCATGTTTTTGACAAGGTTTCCTGGATCTTACAGCTTGGTGTCTGGGAATCGGCCGGCCTCTGGGTGGAGTCCGACGCCCCTAAGCTCTCCTCTGTCTCAGTGCCCGGGTCGGTGACATCAGCTCCCTGGGAAGAGCAGAACGCAGGAAAATTTTGAAAGAAAGTGAGGGAAAAGAAATAAATAAATAAAAATGATGGATATTAAATGTTGAATGAAGTGAAGGAAAGGGGAAAAACACAGGGGAGAAAGATGGGTGACTGTATTTGAAGCTGGCACATGATTGCTTAGCAGAAGACACAACTTACCGACTCACTGCATTGAACAAAGATGCCTTTCAGTAGGTGGAAAAAAACTAATACCAGCCCTGCACGCTTTAACCAGGAATCA